GCTGCCGCCCGGACACGAGCCTCCGATCGCGAAGCCCGTCGCGAATTCTACTCGCGCCATTCGGCCGGTGACGAAGACGAGCCGCCGCTGGAAGTGAAGACCCAGCGGGCGCGGTCACGGACCACCAACTTGGATGATCAGCGCAGTGAGATCTCCAGCAATCATTTTTTTAGATCCCGGAACCGTCTGGGCTCCATCAACACCGCAACCTCCCAACCTAGAACCCCCGACGAGCAAACAACGTCGATCGGGTTCCCGTCAATACAATCGCCCACTTACCTTAGCCATTCCCTTGGTCGGCAGCGATCAAACAAGCCCCCGGGAAGCTCGAATTTGGTAACGAGCGTGTCGGCCAATCAAATAACATCCCCACTGTCGAGTACCGATGCATCCAAGATCCTGCAGCTCATGAAAACAACTTGTGGAAGGATGCACGGCATTCTTTCGTTTCGGACTGCATCTACAACCGCTTGGTCGTCGGGCTATTGCGCCATTAATGTTGCCACGGGAAGCTTGATATACCAAGCTAAAGGAGAGCCCGCATTGGCCAAAACACTGATTCCCGATCTTCGTGGCTGTCAGGTTCGCACCTTGGTCGATCCCGAGACCCGAACCAACTATCTCAGCGTATCAACCTTTACTTCTGGTCTGGGGGTGGAGCTGAAACCTCACGTCAGCGAAACATTTGATTCCTGGTTGGCTGCGCTGTTATGCTGGCAGCCGATCCGACCCAAAGGTGTTCAAAATAAGATGACGAAACCACAATCGGTGGTCATCGGTGACCGCCGCTTGGTTGAACGTAGGAGAAACTCGGAGAGCACTGTTCAGAAGGAGGCAGCAATCATCAAGGTGGGTAAGATGCTCCTCTGGGATAGGCCGAGTGCCTCTGGCGTTCGACCATCGTCAGGGCGTCGGGTTTCCACATACAGACAGCAAAGGGCACTTTCTGCGTCTTGGCTGCGCGTAAGCTGCACGCTGCAGGAAAATGGCGCTTTCAAGCTTTACACGGAGTCAGACATCACCCTGGTTACTTGCATTCAATTGTCGCAACTCTCCCGCTGTGCAGTACAACAACTGCACTCATCCGTCTTGGAAGATGAATTCTGCATTGCAATATACCCGCAGTATGCAGTACATTCTGCTTCGGGCCTAACGCGCCCAGTATACTTAGCTCTTGAAAGCCGCGTTCTGTTCGAGGTGTGGTTCGTTCTTTTGCGCGCGTTTACGATCCCAGAGCTTTATGGCCCTGAAACGCCAGTAGAGGAAGAGTCTCCGAAGACTCCAGGAACAAGCGAGACAAATGTCGCTTCTACCGCGGACATGTTCCGAATCGAGAGAGTACTTGATGTAAGAGTAACGGAAGCCAAGCTATATCGCTGCAGAACCGCAGAAAAGACCCCCCGCAGTCGAAAGCAGTCCCGATCTCATAGCAACTCGGCCCCGGCCTCTGCAGTCAGTGATTACTACACCGAAGTTCTCCTGGACGGTGAGATTCGGGCGAAATCCGCCGTCAAATACCGCACAGCAAACCCTTTCTGGCGAGAAGACTTCACTTTTAGCGACCTCCCGCCCGTTCTGTCACAAGTCTCCATTCTTGTCAAGACGATCAACTCGACCCAGAAGGATTGGTCACTGATCTCGCATGGCTCTTATGCCCTCGGCCATGATTCGAACCCTCTGCGCGCGTTGGATGACGTAGAACTCGCTTCACATGATGCCACCTTTGGCAGGGTTGACTTGAAACTAGATGATCTGCAGCCAGGGGTGGAAACCGAAAAATGGTGGCCAATCCTGGACGACAAAGATCAGCCTGTGGGTGAAATGCTCATGAGGGCTCGGATGGAAGAGACTGTTGTGCTCATGTCTCAAGAATACACACCGATGTCTGAAATTCTTCATTCCTTCACCAACGGCCTCACGATAAACATGGCTCAAGTCATGTCATCCGAACTTAATCAACTTTCGGAAGCGCTTTTGAACATTTACCAGGTTTCAGGGACGACCGTCGAATGGATATCCGCCTTAGTAGAGGACGAGATCGACGGGGTGCATAAAGAGTCGACAGTAAGTCGACTACGATACACGTCAAGAATCCATTCCAACGACGCACGGGAATCAGCCCAGGATCGGGAAGTCCTCGTCAGAGACCTGGGCCGAACTGCTACTGTGGAAGCAAACCTTCTCTTCCGCGGCAATTCACTTTTGACCAAGGCGCTCGATTATCATATGCGTCGACTCGGGAAGGAGTACCTAGAAGAGACGATTGGCGAGCGACTTCGTGAGATCGATGAGACTGATCCAGACTGCGAGGTCGATCCGTCTCGGGTACATCGTTCTGATGACCTCGACCGTAACTGGAGGAACTTGATTGCTCTAAGCAACGGGGTCTGGAAGTCGATTGCGGCCTCGCCCTCCAGATGTCCGGCCGAATTGAGACTCATTTTCCGCCATATTCGGGCGTGCGCGGAGGACCGATACGGTGACTTTCTTCGAACTGTCACGTACAGCAGTGTTTCCGGGTTCCTATTCTTGCGATTCTTCTGCCCGGCAATCCTTAATCCGAAGCTCTTCGGATTGCTAAAAGGTATGTGCCCAACTTTTATTCATGACTGTTTCCACCGGTGCTAATGGCAATCAGATCACCCGCGCCCTCGTGCTCAACGTACTTTGACCCTGATCGCGAAGGCCCTGCAAGGCTTAGCCAATATGACTACTTTTGGTAGCAAAGAACCTTGGATGGAGCCTATGAACAAGTTCCTGAACACGAACCGGTCCGATTTCAAACAATTCGTGGATTCGATTTGCGCGATTCCCGCTGACCGTCCGGCGCCGATCGTGACCCCCTCTTACGCCACGCCCATTCAGATTCTGGGCCGTTTGCCCCCAACCTCACGCGAAGGGTTCCCCAGTCTCCCTTTTCTGATTGATCATGCGCGAAGCTTTGCCAATTTGATAAGCATCTGGCTGGAATCGGCTCCGGAGAGGCTGAACGAATTGGAGGAGGTCGACTCTGCTGTCAGCAAGTTCCATGAGCTAGCCCTCCGGCTCCATCAGCGGACAAAGGATTGCATGAGCCGAGCCGAGCAGGCTGAGCGTCCAAGTGGAAACCTAGAAGTCAAGTGGGAAGAATTGATTGACTCAATGGAGCGGTCCGCAACCTTCTACGACGATAGTTCCAAGCCCACCAGCCCGACAACGGAGGCAGCCGTGGCGGGATCTACCTCGGTGACGGGTAGTCATCGCAATTCAATCGGCTATTTCACTTCTCGGCCGTCTCTACCGCGTCGATCAACTGATCACCCCCCTGAAGGCGATGAAGATACGCCACCCAGTTCTTCATCTGCGACATGGGACCAGAGTCGAGTGCCTTTCACTATCCCTCGGTGGGCTGATCCGCGGGATAGTACCGGCAGCTCAAAAAACTCCTCGACATATTCCCTCGACCAGGAGCCCTCCAGATCTAGACGCTCCAGCATCACAAGGGAGACTACAAGTAAATATCGTTTCTTTGACTTTGTCCCCGCCACCTCTCGACGCAAAGCCAAAGATCGAGATCAAGCCCAACAGCAGTCCCGTGAAGAACAAAGGAGTGAGACAGGAGTATAAAAGCGGTTTTGATAGGCCCGAACCTCTACGCTTCAACGTTCATGACATATATGGTGACCAGGAGCGGTCTGATTGATATATGAGCTTCGCAGCAATAGCCTTGCGACGCATTTATCCTTACATAGGAGCCAAGCCCCTGTCCTGTGGAGAAATCGATTTTTCAGTTCTCGAGGACAAGCCGACAGTGGGACGTGCAAATCTCGACTGAATTGCGAGACCATATGGCAGGTGGCAGAATTATTGTTTGTTGTTCATCTTCTCCTTTTCTGTATAACACAAGAGATCGATTCCATTATCGAAAGACCTGCGTCTTCTGGTGTAAATTCTTCTCCTTCTCCTCCCCTCGCCGTTCTCTGCTCTCCATTGGTCTTCATCTTTTAAGCAGCATGTGCCCATGATCTAACGTACTTTCTTCTGTGTGGTTGTTTCTTTGTTTCTTCTTGGAAAGCATTTTGTCATGGTGTTGATACCCTGCTCCAATTGGTGTTGCTTTTGCGTCATTTGGTCCCTGGACGTGTGAACAGCCCACTGGATGGATATATCGAATCTCTGCTGAAATCGGTACGCCTCGAACGAGAGAGATGGCCGACCCCCCACCCTTATGTTATTCTCGTTTCTTTGACCCCCTCTACATTTTCTCCTTGTGTAAATAGCGTCTTTTCTTTTCACCATTTTGGTCTGGGTATAGATGACACGACTACTCCATGAACTTGTTCGATATCGACTATTAGCTTTGTTATCTGGAGTATGCGTAACCCAGAGAATCACTCCTCTGGAAACCCACTCCAGTGTGTCGATGTACTCGAGATGCTGATCTTGCCCGTAAGCCCGGATGGAGCGCGGAAGGTCCTCCGACAGTCCTCATCAGTGAGATTGAAGCCAGGGAGAGTCAAGGTCGCCGTCTCTGAATGCTTATTAGTGTAACTGAAAATCCGGGCTCAACGTTGGCGTGACATACCCCTTCAATGTCGCCTGAATCTTGTCTTCATTACCATCTGACCACGAGGGTGGAGCATCAAGGTAGGCACCGTCTAAGGGTACTGACAAGAAGAGACTGATAGTACCGATGCCAGAACCAGGCGCAGCTCCAGGTCGACAGCCTCAGATAGAAGAACGCTACGCGTTCAGCGCTCAACGCCTTCCATCGCTCCGCGGCGCTTACCTACCTACTTCCCCAAACCCAATCGCCTGTCGGGTTGGTCAACGTGACTGACACATTGTGGGAAAAAGGAAAGGACCGCGCTGGGGAAGTGAAGTCGAGACAGGAAAGGTCCTCATGCCGCAGACGCAGCGGTAGATCGCGAACCGAGTCTGTATTAGCCCAATGAATTCAAACCGAACATGACTTCAGCCTGCGTGACCCGACGGACAGGAGTTTGAAAGTTGTATTGCGTTCAAGGCAAGCAGGCCAGATCTACGGCGAACGGCTGCTCCACCGGCAGCCCTATCCAGGTCAAATCGTGCAACATCTGCTGCCACACGGCCGCATCCCAATCTTCGGCCACCGCCGCGAATTCTGGGGCTCGAGGGGGGTCGTCGGGTACTGGTTGCGGTGATGTATGAGCGTTCTCAGCGTGCTGGATAGATGAAGGTGTTGTGTCTTCTCGATCTGGGGTGGACTGGGGCTGTGCCCGACTGCTCTCCAACCATGAGAGCATGGATCCAATCACTGCGCGGCAATTATCCCAAACGTCGTCTTGCCGGGACATCGCCTCCATCTTCTGCATAGCAGCCAGGCCGAGGTTGTGGATATCCTTGGGGTGGACGTCGACTGCCTTGCCCTTCGTCGCGGTGTCCGAGAGTAAGCTCAGCTTCGATAGCACCAGCAGGCCGTACCAGATGGATGTGTAGCTGAACATGGGAAGGTTGGGGGTGACGGAAGCCGGCGAGGCGAGGAACACGGTCACGGTGTTGAACGCGGAGCGCGCAATGGTCAGTAGTTGCTGTTTCTCGTACTGGCGATGGCCGTCCTTCTGCTGCCGCAGAGCGTGGCCGAGTACAATGGCAGGTATTGCGTTGAGCTCTAAACGCAGGGCCCCTAGTTGGGTCAGAAAATGGACGAGGCAAACTATTGGATCTCGGACGGGCATACAGGTATCACACTGTGTTTCCTGTACGAGAAGGTGCTCGATTCGATTCTCAAGTACCTCCAGAGAGCGAAAAAGTTCGTCCTTGCTCATCGCACGGGTAGGGTCTTCTACCTCTAGCTCCGATCGCCGAGCAAGCGATTGGATCTCAATTAGTGCTTTGAGAGACTGGTCCGTGGGATACTCCGCCCTTTGCCCTAAGCTGTTGGCACAATAGTCAACCCAGTCCGTATGTTTCATAACGAGCTGTCGCCGGAATATTGAGGCCCTTGCTCTGTTAGTCAACAGCCGTGTACCGCACATTCAAAGCTCTCACTTGGAACATAGATAGTAGCACCCTAGGAAGGCACGCTGTCCGTCCGGGGTCTGATAGAACGCTTGCCCTTTGGCTGGTTCCTCTGTTTCTTTTTCACTAGGGTAGTTGCGCTGCATCCTGAAGTTGTCGCATCTGTCCAGTCCCAAGTCCACAACGATGGCCATAGCCATCTGTAGAAGCATGTACACCTGGGTATGGTAAACGCGCCAATGATAGTGATACCATGCGATATGAACCAGTAGCCCCCGAAGAAGATCCATGTTTCTCTCCATGTTCATTACTATGCGGGTAGAGATCACAGCTCGCGCTTCGAGTTCTAGTTTCTGCTGGAGATCGGGCTTGTGCTCGAGACAGGCTGTTATTACGCACTGGAGGAGGAATGGAGACTGCTTGCCCAGCTCGACAAAGCTTGTTTCAGGTACAATGACGAATGGAAACAGGGGCATCAAATCCGTGCGGAACTTCAGGAGTAGCTCTTCGCCCTCAGTGATACTGAGAAATCCCCGTGTGATAAAGCTGTTGAGAGGTTCAGGTATAGCGCTTGGTTGTGACGAAGTATTACTGACTGTAGAAGGAGAAGGCATTTCTGTTATAGATGCCAACTCCATCCTCGGGTCCTAGTCGAAACAGTTGAGCGAAACTTCTTCTTGAGAGCATCGTTCGGAGAAAGATACCTTATCAGGATGTAATTGAGCAACAAGGGTGTTAACCTGTTGCTGGATGCTCTCGATGCGACTGTTTCTGGTGCCAGAGAGAGCAAGGTTACCCAACAGTTTACCCCTTAAGACAAGGGTACAGGATATGGCCGGGAGCTAACCTGATGCTTGCATTGCTGCGCGAGCTGTCTGGAGAAGCACAGTGACGATTGAGTCTGGCGCATCGTTGACACCGTCCATTCCCAACGGGAACGCACTTCACTTTCAATTGAATGCATCGGACGCAGGCATGCCGCCTCGAGGGGGCTTGAGGGTGCATTGGTCTCTGTACTGGGCGGTAGCTCTGGTCTCAAGGTAACTGAAGGAGTGACACTAAGGTAGAAAAGCCGGAGGTACGAAGTAGAGAAAGAGAGTACGGAGGCCAGCACGGCGCGGGGTCGGAGTCGGCCTCGGAGCCAGCCACAAAGCCGGGGCCGGCCTCGGCCTACTATACCAACAGATTACCCAATTCGGTAATCGTTGGTCCGATCCACGACCTTGACTTGGAGATCCGGCACAGCATAAAGCTGTGTTCTCATTGCCATGAACTATTCAGCACAATAGTTTCAAATCTGGATGAATCTTAGCTGGAAGATGTCTTCGACCCCTCCTGACGCGATGTCCAGAGCACAGCCAGTCTATCTGTGAAGCTTTACAGCATCCTGGCCGGAATCATGATAGCCAGGTTCCTAATATCATTAGACGTCTCCATCATCGCTACTGTAAGTTCCCCCTCAGTTCTGCTGCAATACTTTACCCTTCCTGAAACTGACATCCACTCCCAAAGGCGATCCCCTCAATATCAACCCAATTCCACGCTACAGCAGACATCGGCTGGTACGGCGCGACCTACCTACTGACAAATGTGCGCTCTCCAACCTCTCAGCGGCAAGCTCTCCTCCCTACTCTCGCTGCGATGGACCTACCTCACCTCCTATGGCATATTCCTGCTCGGCTGCCTGCTCTGCGGCGTGGCCAACAGCTCCAATACGAGCCGTCGCGGGCGCCGGAGGCGCCGGGGTCGTGTCGGGCGGCCTCTCAGTGATTGCATCGCTCACCACCCCGCAGCAGCGGCCACTGTTCACAGGCCTACTCACCTCTCTTTACGCCCTGGGCGCGGTGGTCGCCCCGATCATTGGCGGCGCGCTGGCCGAACAGCGTACGTGGCGGTGGTGCTTTCTCATCAACCTGCCAGCAGGCGCCGTGACGGTGGTGACACTGCTCTTATTCTTCCGCCCCCCTGCTTCTCCCACCAACGGAAGTATCCACCGTGCATCCCTCCTGAAACAGCTCGACCTACTCGGCTACGCGCTCTTCATCCCCTCCATCATCCTGGCGATGCTGGCGTTGCAGTGGGGCGGCGGCGAATATGCCTGGGGCTCGGCGACGGTGATCGGACTCTTCGTCGGCTGCGCAGTCACGATGACGATGTTTATCGTGTGGGAGTGCTACATGGGCAATAAGGCGATGATCCCTATCGCGCTGCTGCGGGACAGGGCGATCATGCTCAGTCTGGCCTTTGCGTTTGTGTTTATGGGGTCCTTCGTCATCCCGGTCTACTATCTGCCGGAATGGTTCCAGATCGTCCAGGCCGCGAGCCCCATGCGCAGCGGCGTCATGCTTCTGCCGTCGGTGTGCACGCAGGTGTTCGGATCTCTTGTTTCTGGACTCCTCGGTAAGTTCAAACCTCAGGCGCGGGTTCTCGCTATTTCACGAACAGTCGTACTGACGCACTGATCACAGCCAAGCACCTTAGCTACCACAACGCGTGGCTCTTCCTCGGCGCCGCCTTCCTCTGCATCGCCAACGGGCTCTACACCACATTCACGGTATCTTCAGGGTCTGCCTCCTGGATCGGGTACCAGATCCTCCAGGGCCTGGGCTGCGGCGTTGCCGCCCAGATGCCGTTGCTGATAGTGCAGCTGGTCCTGAAGCCTCGACCGCGCGACGTTCCCGTCGCGATCGCCACGGTGCTCTTCACGCAGTATTTTGGGAGTGCGGTGGTGCAGAGCATTGGGGGTGCCGTTTTTCAGAATGCACTCAGAAAACAGCTGCGGGATCGCGCTTCGTTGGATGATACGCAGATTGCGATGCTGCTGGGTGCTGGCACCCTCGGGGTGCGCGAGGTGGCTACGTGGGCGTTTGCGGACCGGTGGGCTGAGGTTATCGTGGCGTATAATGAGGCGATTACTACTGTGTTTGTGAGTGGGGTTTTCTGGGGTATGTGAGGTGTGCGCTGCGCTAACGATGCTAGTATCTTCCCATGGCTGGTAGCGCTCTGGCGTTTATCCTAGCCGGCGGAATTCCGTGGGCCAATACTCGCAGGACGAAGGGAGATGATGATTTGCTTGGTGCGAAGCGAGCTGACATGCTTCAGTCGGATAAGCAGGTCGCTGTGTGAGGAATCAGCTTGCTGCTCGCGGCCCTTGGGTAAGCAACACAAGCCCTGCGCAAAATCAGTGGCAACAACAATGCAAAGCATGATCCATAATAGGAAGGAAATACTTTTGAAGGAGGGTATCTATTAACCCAGATAGATTATATAACTAATAGAGCTAATGCCAATCAAGGCCAAAACAAACCCACATCATCTGATTCAAGTCTATAACGCGTACCGGAACTCCTTGTCCTGCTTGTCAGTCAGGTCATTGCTTGGTAACCCATTCTCATCGAGTTCGATTTGCGGATCAGTCCCCGGCAGCCCCGAAGACCTCATCTGCGAGTCACGTTTGCGGTTGTCAGCCGCACACAGGAAGCGATAGATGATGACGGCCACGAAGAGGAGACACCATGTCACGATCGACGTGATCACGCCCTCGGTATACCGTGGCTTGTGTGTCCACAGCTGCGGTGAACCGATGCAGCCCGCCGAGTATCCTATGAAGAACATGGTGTTCACGATCGCCCGTTTGGTGTTGCCCTTCACATTCGAGGCCGAGAGGGAGAGAAGTATAGACATTGATGCTGTGATGCAAGACGACTAAGCAGGGTCAGCATTAGTTTTCATTACCAGAGAGATTGAACAAGGGTTGGAAGTATTGTTCAGGTAAACTCACCACCCACGCAGCAACGATGAGCCCCCACTCCGCCGCGACATCAAGCTTCATCAAGAACACAGTCCCCACCAAAGGCGGGATGATCAGCACCAGGACGATCAGGGTCCGCTGCCGCGGGAACCAGTACACCAGGGCCGTTCCAACCCAGAGCAAAGCGACCTGCACGGCCCCGGAGGGCGCCGTGTAGAGCATTGTCTCCAGTTTGCTATAGCCGATGGACTCGATGACCAGCGACGCGAAGGTCAACACGGGGGACTGCATGGTGACCAGCACCCCGAACCAGAACACCGCCCAGGCCTTGGGGTCCCGCAGGGCCTCTCGCAGCTGCAGCCGGGAGAAGGACGTCTTGTCCCCGCCCTCGCGGTCCGCGGCCATGCGCAGCGACAAGACGGTCTTCTCGCGCGCGGTCAGAAACCAGGCGTCCTTGGGCCCGCTGGGCATCAGCACGAAGAACCCGATCCCCGCCGCCACGGTGAGCGCGCCGCAGAGCAGGAACAGCACCCGCCAGGGGGCCAGGGCCAGCGAGGCACTGTTCTTGCCGATGCCGTACATCAGCAGGCAGCCGATGACCTGGGCCACGCCGTTCATGGTGATCCAGAGCGCCGTGCGCACGGTGTGCTCCTGTTTGCGGTACCAGGTCCCCGTGATGGTCACGAACGCCGGGGAGACGGCGCCCTCGCTGAAGCCAAGCAGGAACCGGACGGTTGCGAACCCGGCGAAGTTCTTCGGTGCGGCGAGGCACATGCAGATGATTCCCCATATGATGCTGTCATGGAGGTGGGTACGCATCAGCTCGACTTGTTTGTGTTCAGTGATCCCTCTGAGGAGAGGATAAGGGGGGGGGGAACGTACACGGTTGCACCAACAAACTTGGTCAGTGGAAGCCGACTCATCAGATAAATGAAGGGATATTCTGCGACAAGCTGGCCCACATAGAATATTGAGCTGGACCATGAGTATTGTGAGTTCGTTAGGTTAAGGTCTTGGATCAGACCGAACACGGCTGCGTAGCTCAGACTCTGCTTGTCAAGGTATTGCAGGAAGAACACGAAGCACATCTGCGACGATGAGCATCATCAGCGTCGTGCATCTCTATTGCATCATAGATAGGAAGCTCACAAATGGCAGAATGACCATGTCAATCTTTCGTAGCACTGCCTTTTCTTCTTCCGCGGTATACGCATCGGATCCCACCGCGACAACCTCGCTACTCCTGCGAGTACCATGGTCTTTTTTCTCTGGATCGCTCATTGTTGGAGGAGCTTAGGAGTGAGTCTATGTGTCTTGTACAGTTGAAAGAAAGCAACAAGGAGACATCTGGGCTTGTCGTCTGAGAATGTGACTGGTGCTGAGGATGCAGCCTGTTTGCCGGTCGACTCGGACCTCTAAACACAAGATAGGATTCGCCAGGGATGATATATGGTCGGCATCACACCCTAGATTTCTCAATTGACGAATCAGAGACTCTTATCTTTCCAAGTTCCAGTATAAAAGTTGGTCCATTAGCGATGGTGATAAGCATGACCAGCGATACGAACGAATGGAGGGATGAGGGTCGTCGATCCGATGCCAGCTCGGCAATCTGCACGGCCAACTTCCCGACTACGACAAGGTCATCTGCGATGCGACCGATCATCACCATCCATATGTCAGCCATCTCTGCTAGAAACTTTTCTTGATCTCTTTTCCTTTTCCTTAACTTGATCCCCCTCAACCCAAACATACTCATCATGCCTCATCACCCACCAGTTCCAGGCTCCGACATCAAGCCTTGGGCCCGCGCAGCCCCGCGTGGGTATCTCTTCACCAACGCCAACATCGTGGATGTACAAGAGGGCCGTATCCTGGAGAATGCCAACCTCATCACCCGCCACGGGAAGATTGAATCCGTCTCCGCGGCTGCTTCCTCGCCGGAGCCTCCTTTCGCTTCTGACTTGAAAGTCATCGACTGCGAAGGCCACTATCTATGCCCGGGCCTCTTCGACGCCCACGTCCACCTGTGCGCCGTCCCCGGCTACAAAGACCTCTCCAAAGCATTCGGCAACTCCGATCACGCATCCCTACTGCGGCAGCCCTTCGTCGCGGCCCAGATGCTGCACCGCGGCTTCACGAGCGTCCGCGACTGCGGCGGCGCCCAGCTAGCCCTGAAGGAAGCCATCGACGACGGGGTCTTCCCGGGGCCCCGACTCTTCATCTCGGGCCACGCGCTCTCCCAGTTCGGCGGCCACGGCGACCTGCGGGGTCCGCACGACCAGACCGAATGCTGCGGCGGGCTGCACAGCAACAACCACCTGGGCCGGCTCTGCAACGGCGTGCCCGAGTGCATGGCCGCCGTGCGCGAGGAGATCCGGTGCGGCGCCGACTTCATCAAGATCATGGGCTCCGGGGGCGTCGCCTCGCCGACGGACAAGCTCGAGCACCTGCAGTTCACCACCGCCGAGCTGGAGGCCATGGTGGAGTGCGCGGACAACGCGGGCACCTTCGTCACCGCGCACGCCTACACCGTCCAGGCCATCCGGCACTGCATCGACCACGGCGTCCGGGGCATCGAGCACGGGAACTTCGTCGACCCGCCCACGGCCCGGCTGATGGCCGAGCGCGGCGTCTACCTCACCCCGACCCTGATCGCCTACGCGCAGATGGCCTCCGAGCAGTGGCAGGGCTACCTGCCGCCCGAGTCGCAGGCGAAGAACGCCCAGGTGCTGCAGTCCGGGCTGCACGCCCTGAAGATCGCGGCCGAGGCCGGCGTCAAGATGTGCTACGGGTCCGATCTGCTGGGGCCGTTGGGGTCGGCCCAGACGCAGGAGTTCGCCCTGCGCGCCCAGGTGCTCTCCCCGCTGGAGATCCTGCGCAGTGCGACCGTCCATCCGGCCCAGATGATGGGCTGCGGGGAGGTGATTGGGCAGATTAAGGAGGGCTTTCGCGCGGATGTGGTCTTCCTCAACCAAAATCCGCTCGAGGATGTCACGGTGTTTGATCGGCCCGAAGAGCATGTGCTTGGGGTCATGAAGGATGGCCGCGTGTGTAAGAGTCGCTGGAGCGCGCTGGCGGAGGATGCCGAGATTCCGGTTCGTGTTAAATATAACTGAGTGACTTATGGTAGTAGATGCCTGGAATTGATTTCTAATCCTCCAGTGAATGAGTCTTCTGGGGGTCTGGCTTTTCTTCTTCTTCTTCTTCTTCTTCTTCTTCTTCTTCATCTTCATCTTCATAATGCAGGTCTTGTAGATACAGCACAAGAAGGTTTTTATGTGCTGAACGAGTAGCCTGCGGAAGTTTTGATAAGGAAAGCGCGAGACGGCTCAGTCAGGGCTGTGACTGCTTCAAGTGGGCATCTACAAAGAGCGAGATATGAGAAGGCGTGGCTATGACCTCTCCGACTTATCGCCATAGATGTAGTATGCAGATGGCTTCTACAATCCTTGGTTCGATAACCATAAATACGATCATTCCATTTGGCCCATGAGACCCGAGAAATCCAGAGCATCGCCCAGAGCATCTAGTCCAGTCAGTCCCATCAAGAACGACTGCTCATCATTGTGTAGGCCAGAGAAAAAGTCGTTTGGTACGAGCGGATTAGAAGGCCCTGAAGAGAGATTCGAAGAATCCCGAGGAATGGACAACGCCCCTGGGGTGTGCAGCTCCATCTGAGTTTGCCAGGTGGCCGGCGCTGCCAACCATGACTCTGCATGCCGGTCTCTACTCTCCCCCCTCGAAGGGGCTTCGTCTCGTGGATGAACCACACAGCATTCGCGACTTTTGGGGTCCTCTTGTACCGCGAACCACTCCAGCCACTGGTTGTAGCCCAGATGCGTATTCAAGTGGGAAGTCTCGCGAGACAGGACAGGACTGTCAAGCTGTTGCAGCTTACTCGCAGCTTCATTTGTGATTGATTGCACCGCTTCAACAAAACTCACGCCTAATTTGGCAGTCATATTCCCCGTGGCCATCTTCCGCAGACAGTTGAATCCCAGCTCCACCCGACTGTCGTACCCGGAATCGCGTTCCAAGATTCCTGAGACCAAAGTAACGATAGTTGCGATGCTGCAGCCCTGGAAGTCGGTGAACGAGAACCTGGTGATGACTCGATGTCGCGTCAAGTTCTCGAAAAGCCGCAGGATCTTCCTCGCAGCTTTCGTGCAATCATTGGCCAGGCTCTTGACCTTGTCGCTGATATCCGGTGCGTCACGATCGGCGGGCGGTTTCAACCTGGTCCTAGCCACAGTTACCAAGGCGACCTTGCCCATCGTGATCATTGCATAATAGTAGTTCAGGTACAGATGGGCTATGGCTCGATATTTCCAGCTGCTTGGCGGGATCTGGTCGAGCTTCAGATTAGGGGGAA